CACACAAAACAGTTGTCACTATAAACTCTGCCGAAACTAGTCCTTACCTTCTGAAGCAACGGTAGTCGGCTTATCGACTCAGGAATGTTAGCTCTATGCGCTCATAGCGGCAAAACGCGGTACTACAAAAGCTCTGCCCACAAAAAAATTAGTTCGGTTTCTTTTGGGTACCCCATCGTAGTAGTCTGTCATTTAGAGCATCATGTAGCATTTTTCCCTAAGTCTGATAGATTTTTGAGAAATAATATATGCATTTTTACAACTTAAAAGGAAAGAGCTTCAGATGATCCTATCAGTTGAAAGAAATGTTTTTACCACAGCTAAATTTTCTTACAGTTGGATCCTGTGAAGTGTGAAATGGCTTTCTACATCCAGTCTGTAAATAGTGGCTTGTATCTGGATGTTAAAGGTGACCAAGAGTCTGCTGGGGCAGAGGTGATTGTGTATGATTTTCATGGTAAAAGGAATCAACAGTGGAAGTACAATAATGGCATGATCTTCAGCAAGTTAAATAAGTATGCATTACATCCAATTCAGTTACTTCATAGTTACTTCATGTACTGCATATACATAAAAGTATTGTGTACTATTCAATGATTTTGCACACATGTTGGGGTTTACAGTAGAGTAGTTGGTTGAGGCACTATGCTACAAGCCAGAAGGTCAAGGGTTTGATTCCCAATGAGGTCACTAGATTTTTCAATTGACCTAATCCTTCCAGCCACAATATGGCCTTGGGGTCAACTCAGTCTTACAAAAATAATTACCAGGAATCTTCCTGGGGTAAAGGGCAGCTGGCGCGCAAGGCTAACAACCTCACTGCCATATGTGAACCGACTGTCTAGAAAATGTTGGAACCTTGATGTTTCATGATCCAGTTGGCTTCCACAGCCTGTTATAGGGATAGCTTTTCACACATGTGCTTCTGGGGCCTTGATTGTACAGTTACCATCAGCCAGGAATTCATTGGAAGAACCTCTTATGTGTGCCTACTTCCAGCTCAGCCAAACTGGAATACCCAAGAACTGTTAAATGCCTTGTCACACACATTATGATTAAATGGTTTTATGTGCCACAGTCCATGAATAAGGACTGTATCTTATTTAAAGCTTATACTGTTCAAATGCAATACATTTATGTTACAGATTGCATCAGTTTTTGCTTGTTACGCTTCCACATTCATTGTTTTAATTTGCTTTGCAGAGCAGTGGTAATTAGAATTGCTAATCATTATGCTTGTGGAAATGTCTTGTATTTTTAGATATATGGGCCTAGATTGAAGTTCTGATAGTTGGTGACCCTGGACCCTAGTGAAGCATAACAGAGGTTGATTGTTGCAAAGTTCTGAGTTTGATATCTTTTTTTTAATATAAATACAGCAGAAAGAAACCAGTAATTGGCAGTATTTTGTTCGTCCGGCGATGTCATCATGGCTACATGTCAGTAACTGGCAGAGATGAGACTGTGCATCTTGCAGAAGCCAAATATTTAACACTGTACCATCCCTACAAATAATAACCATAACTTACAAATAAAAGTAATTCATACATTACAGTCACAGGAAGCTCTGTGAAGTACTTATTTTGTCTACTTTTTTCTTCCCAAGTTTCAAACTATACGGTGGTACTAGCAAGAACTGTAAATTAACAATTACCCAATTCAGTAATCAGATTCTTTCATAATATAAATTCTGAGTATAATAAATTTGCGAAATATAATCCTAAAGTTCCCATCATCTTTATGTTTATAATTCTTGACATACAAATAACTGTATCATACAGAACTGAAGATGTGTTTATCTGTTTCTATAAAAATAGATCTCACATACCTTGCACCACTGGTTCATTAATTATATGAGAATGGATAACCTTGAGATCCCTCGCAGTCATGTGGATGGTGGGATCCTCATAAATTCTCCTTTCTGCAGTCTGGATACCTCTTGATTTTTCCTTACATGTTTGATCCTAAGCTTCATGCATAATTTCATAATTCCTTGAAACTTCTGTTACTAGGTCAGTACATGTTATGCTACAGATTGTCACTATGCAGTTGTAGTATTCTGTACAAACAAATTGAACTCAATTATCACTCACCACCTCCATCTTCAGATTATCACACTTTTTCAAAGTACAGACTTAATTAAATGTCAGGTTCTTAGTATAAGGAAAGATAAATTTTGTCCTGACTCCTATACTAAAAATGTTTTTAAACATACTTGTCTGGCAGTATTTGAAGAGCATTTGAGAATTTTTCTATATGGCAGTGTAAACATGTAATGGTTGGCCTGAGGATCTCCCATTTGGTATGGTGTCAGTATCTAGTATATGTAGAGATGAATGCATATTATCACACAGTGCTGAGCTGTGGACTGAAGAAGAGTTCAAGTTTCATACATAAGCATGTGAGTACAGTGAAGATCATTCAGGATTACCAAGTTTATGGAGTTTGCCCATCATTTAATATTATAAGATGGGCACAACATTTTGGAAACTGGATTTCCATCCACAGATGAAGGGTCCGTTCGATATTGGTAACCTCAATGAATGGACAGTAGATATGGTTTCTTCATTTTCTTGTAAAAACATACTGTATTGGCAATATGTAGTTCGACAGCACTGTTCTGTATTTTTAAACTATTTACTGGGACCAGTCTCTTTTCTTGAAATGTATTCTTTTCCACTGTTACTTAAGATTTTCTGTAAGCTATTTTTTCACTCTTGCACATCTAATAACTGCACAATTAAATTGATACTCGTAACAGTACAGCCTTTACCTATGCCCATACTACTGAAGTCTGCTACATGCAGCTACTTGTCCCAGCATGTCATGTGACAGTCTAGTTGGAATAAGTCTCTCCTCTGCTTGCATCATAAGAAACTGAAAACCAAATGCACCACTACACCTCCAAATACTGTCTAATTATTAAATGTAACACTATGAGGTGTTGTATATTGATGGCAGATTAACATTCATGTTCCATATAAAACTATAAATTGACTAGTAGTTACTATAGGATTCTGACGATGGTGTATAACACACAGAGATATTGGGTTTTCGCACTTTATCCATCATCTGGTTTTTAAGATAACTAAGAAAAACAGAATAGGTGTTTTCCCTCACCTGAGGACGGAAACAGATCCAGTTTCCGAACGTTGTGTTTTTCTTAGTTATCTTAAAACCAGGACGATGGATAAAGTCCGAAAACCCAGTATCTCTGTGTATAAGTTGACCGTTGAGTGCAGTAGGTGCTTATTCCATTATGCCCTTCATTTGTAAAGAATTATTGACACATCACTTTGAAGTCACATGACATCACCCATCATGTGTCACTTCAGTGGGCTAATGGCTCAGTTCCACATCCTGTGGTATCAGGTAAATGACATGTACACCAGGCACAAAGATGCAGCCAGTGCCTCAAACAGCAATGCACCAGCAAGTGTCCATGATGCTGCATGGCTGCAGCATGTATTTGCACCTTTATTGGCTACCTGAGGAAGCAAAAGATGTGTGTAAATAGAAGATAGAACTCTTCATAACCTCATGCCCTACTTACATTTTTGTTAGGATGAAGCTATTCAGGGGGTTCAAGTTAGTCTACAGACATCTTCAACAAATCTCTTACAGTGTCAGTTATGATTTCTGAGCACAGATGATTATATTTCTGCAAACAAGTGTGTCACTCTTGGTGGTATTGATGTCAAGCAAGATGCATATAGAAGCAGTGCTTTCTTCAGATGATACACATATCAGCAACCATTTGATGCATACTGGCAAATTTGTTGAAAGCACACATTTGCTGGTACATTGCATATTTCGACCTTGTACCCCAGACTGAACATAAAAGCACTGGAAAATTAATTTTTAGATAAAAGAAGCTCTGGGTACAAGTATGTTGTGACATAATTTCTGTTGATATGCAGTTTTGTAGCGTGCACTGATTAGACATAGGAAATTTCTGAAATGCTCTTTACTGAATAAATATTGTAATCTGGACTATAGTGAACAAACACAACCATAAAAATAATAAACTGTACTAAGTAACTAATCTCTTGTAGGAAAGTAAATCACTGGTATCTTGAAGCTCATTATTGTCCTTTTAATTGCCATTTTTTCTTAACAGTCTTGTTCTAGATGTTGACTCGAATGACAGAATTATAATGGTTGAGCCCAGTGGAACAGCGAAACAGAAGTGGCATTTTGATGATGACTTTACAGTCAGGAATGAAGATGGAACAGTGTTGGATGTTCAGAAAGGATCAAAGGAAGCTGGTACAAAAGTCATAGCTTTCAAGAAGCATGGAGGACCAAATCAACGGTTCAGAGTTGTGCCTATTGACAAAATTAAATAATACACTTGGCTTCCACAGAATGGTGGTCAGCTTACATCATATATTACAGCAAACAGTGTATCCTAAGCTGTCATCAAAACTTATGTATATATACCAATAACAGGCTATATAGAATGTTGATACAGAATACACATATAAATTTGTATTATATTCATTCTCATTTTCTGAACCATTGGTCCAACAAAATTATACTTAAATACAGCAGTACTAAGTAATTCCAACCAATGCATAACATTCTTTAAGTAATTTAGATACAAGAATAATTGTATTCTAAATAGTGAACCTATTAAAATTTGAATTGTGCCATAAAACTGGCAGTCATCCAGCACAGCTTTTCCCCATTTTTATGTGCAACTTCTGTGAATTAGTACTGCAGGAAATTCTAATTTCATGATCCATTACTTAGATGGTTAGTGATTGAACAACTATTTGTGAAAGGTAATACACAGGGAATACCCACACATGCCAAAATGTCTTGCATTTGCTCTGGACAGATGTTGTATGTATGGTTAAGGAAATTAAAAGCAATTGACATACTGTAAAACAAATATAAAATGTTAGATTTGCTTACATTGTTGTTATTTCCTCATCATCCCTGCCTTTGCTCATCAGGTATTGTTGATAACCCACCAGTCCAAAGCTGGCTGCAGAAACTATATCCTGAAGTTTTGTCATTATTCACCTAGCCAATTTAGACTTAAACAGAAACAATCAAACTCCATGCCTTTAGTCCACAAGCGAACTATACCGACCGAGTGAAGTTAATGCCAACTTTAGCAGGTAGAGGGTGTCGCATGGTTCACGCAACAGATCCCCACAGCCATTAATCTCGGTTTTCTAGACCTGAGCCACACTTTTCCATTCAAATAGCTCCTCAATTATCCTCATGAGGCTGAGTGGTCCCCGTTCCAGACCCACTACTTCTCAGAAAATCTGGTGGCGCCGGGAATCGAACTCAGCACCTCTGGATCTGTAGCCAGGAACTCTGATCACTAGACCACAGAAACCATAGAGCCAATTTATACTTACATAATCATAAATTGTACTGTTTACTTTATAGTCTAATACTGCTGCATTCATTTGGGGGAAAAATAATAATATCTAAAACTCATACTTGAAGTCACCACCTGTTCAGCTGCTGGCATTGTATTATTCACATCACAATACAGCAAACTTTAAGTTATGCAGCATATATGGGGAACAGGATGGGTGAGTTACATGAATCTGCTGGCTGCATGATTATAAATATCTGTTTTATATCTTCACTTTAGCTCTTGCATGAGAATCTTAATGGTTAACACAGTATATTAATGGTTTAATATTTTTTAATGTACTGTAAAGCAATCACAATTTCAAATAGCCTCTACTGTAATGGCATCTGCATAAGGGAGGACAACATGCAACACTGCTAGTAATAATTTGGAGAACTACCTCATGTGGTGGGTAAACGTAAGCATTCATTCATTGATTCAGCATTCCATAAATCCTTACATGGTTAAACACCAATGGATATAGGAGCTGATGTGTAATCATTTATTCTAGTTTTCTCTTTTCTGTCCAACTTTTTACCCTGCAAATGTCTTACTGTCTTAAGAATTAACCACAAAATAATGAGACTGTACAAACATTCACTGGATACTACGGACTGATATTTTGGACCTCAGCACTTCTGTTTTTAATCTAGAAAATAAACTCTTTATCTCCAGTTTTGGACTCTAATGGAGGAAATTAAAAAACAATGCTTCAACTTAGATACTGAAGAGCTTCATAATTTGTATTCCAAATATTACTGGAGCAACCAACTAAAGATAGATGAGATGAAAAATGCATACATGATTTTGTCTATAAACCCTCAGGAAATTTCAGAAGAGACCTTGGCATAAATAGAATAATACTGAAACATATTACAGAAATATGATGCTGTTGACTGATTCAGGTTAAGAAGAGTGTTGCCAGATAACTAAAATAACAAACTGGTACAACAAACCTTTCAATGTCATAAAAACACATGATTCTGACATTTTCTGACATTGACTTAAAGTTTAATTAGGGATGTTCATCTTCCTGCTTAACATAAAGAGCAGCTGGCAAATATAATTCCGCACACTGACAGTGCCTTTATTAATAACTGACTGACCATCTTCATCCATCCTCACGTCGGGCAAACAAACACCCGTCCTCTGCTAACACCGATGTCAGCGATGTTGGCAAGCCCAGTAAAAACGTGCGTTCCTTCGCAAGCTCTCTTGCGGTAGAAATTGTAACCTCATGAATTACGTCAAGGTATGGCATCCTCCTAGTCCTCCCAGTGGCGGCACGGAACAGCTGGATTGCGTACTGCATGACTTGAATGAAAGTAATTTTCTCCACCACTCATTAAAGATGTTCACAAAGGGTTAGGGCAAAACTGACTGTAGTGCTTTCGTTTTTTTATGTCATTAAAAAATCACACAAACTAAATGGAAACGCAACTTGTTTTAGTTTTTAATTAAAATTCAATGCGCTCTACACTTTTCATTCGGGAGGCCCTCACTCCGAATCTCGGCATGGACACCAGCTATCCTAATTTAGTTTTCGTGGTTCTCCTTGCTTTCTCCAGGTAATGCCGGGATAACACCTCAGTCAGGCAACCTTTTCCTTCCATATCCTTCCCAGTTCATTATTCAGCAGTAATCCTAGCATTCCATGCTATGTGGATACTACGAGTAGATACTTAAAACATCGTAAAAGAAACCACAATAAATGCGGTCATTTGTTTGAAAACAGATGTTATTTCTGGGCTGCAAATGAATAAACCTATTTTGAAGAACATGTTAATATATTAATAAGAAGAGGCACTACTTAATTCTTAACAAGTTTTGGGAAGCATCACGAACACAGGTTACACCACACTTGCATTGGGATTTGAAAACTGTCATTTATTTAACTGATTTATTTGCCTTGTTCTTTTCTATCTTTTCGTCTTTTTTCTTTTTCACTCCCAATTTTTCTTTCGTTGGAATAATCTGGAATTCTAGTAACAACAGCTGCGTGGAAACCAAACACGAATGGAAAACGATATGTACACCTCTAAATTCCTCTACGAACCCATTCTTTAAATAAATATCTCCAATATACGCGGGGTTGAGTCCAGTAGCTGCCAAAGTTAGTTCTTTTTCCCATTTCAGACTTACTTACTTAGCCATGGAGCTGAGTCCTTCTTGAGGAGCCGCCAATTCTGCAGCTACTAAAGAATATCCCAGCATTTTATGGAACCCGAAGGTTCATTACCGTGTTCACAAGAGCCATCCACTGGTCCCTATGCTGAGCCAGATCAATCTAATCTATCCCATCCTATCTCTCTAAGATCCGTGTTAATATTGTCGACCCACCTACAACTTGGTCTTCCCAGCAGTCTCTTTGCTTCTGGCTTTCCTACCACTATCCTACATGCATTCTTCTTCTCCCCCTTCGAGCTACATGCCCTGCCCACCTCATTCTCCTTGACGTGATCATTCTAACTATGCTTGGAAAAGAGTACAAGTTATGAAGCTCCTCATTATGCAGTTTCCTGCAACCTCGTGTCATTTCATCTCTCTTCGGTCCAAATATTCTCCTCAACACCCTACTCTCAAACACCCTTAGTCTATCACACAGTGATATTGGGTTTTCGGACTTTATCCATCGTCCTGGTTTGAAGATAACTAAGAAAAACACGACGTTTCCGAAATTGGATCTTTTTCCGTCCTCCGGTGAGGGAAAACACCTATTCTGTTGGGTCCCTTAGAAAGAGCTAGCCTCAATCACTGGATAAAGTCCGAAACCCCAATATCTCTGTGTGTTATACACCATCGTCAGAATCCTATAGTAGCCCCTATAGTAGTCTATGTCCCCCCCCCCCTTAGTTTTCCCATTTCAAAACAAAGAAAGATGTGTTTCTTTTCAAGGTTTCATGTACACATACGTAGGAGTCCTGTGTCGCTATGTGTCTTCAACTACGGGGTACATAAAAGTATAGCTTCATCCTTTTTACGTATTACATCGAAATTCGTGCAAATTACATCGCAATAGCCAGAAAAAATTCGAATTTTCAGTATTCCGGAAGCCCACAACAATGAGCTGTGAGGAAATACTTTCAGCCAGAGACAATGCAAATATTTTAAGAGAAGTTGTAGTTTAATGAAGATTAAATGAGTTAATTCTCACGTGGGAACGTAACTGAGTTGAGAGAGTCGCTCGTATCTGCTGCCAGGAATAAGGACCAATTTAAGAAAAAAAACTCCGTGGCCTGTAGTCCGCAAGCGAACTATACCGACCGAGCGACCGCCGTTTGTCGGCGAAATTAGTACCAACTTTTGCGGATAGAGGGTGTTACTTTTTCAGCGCAACGGATCCTCAGGACCGTCAATCTCCGTTTTCTATACCGGAGCCGCTATTTCCTTGAAATAGCTCTTCACTTATCCTCACGAGGCTTAGTGGTCCCCGTTCCAGATCCACCACTTCTCAGAAAATCTGGTAGAGCCGGAAATAGAACCAAGGACCTCTGGATCTGTAGCCAGGAACTCTGACCACTAGACCGCAGAGGCGGTCAAAGGACTGATGTACAAGTTGATATAAAGGTCTGACCCAGTTTCTTTTCGACTATAAATAAGATACGTTAAACAAAGTGCAAGGAAGAACAAAACAGAAATATTAAAGTAAAATGTAAAGTAAAGGTATCACTGTAACAGGCCTTGGAATCCCATGGGGTTGTGAAATGTTGAGGCTCCCACATTATCTAGACAATCGGCTCATAGATGGCTGTAAGGTTGCCAGCCCTACGCGCCGGCCGCCCTTTACCCCCAGGAATATTCCTGGTACTCATTTCTGTTAGAGGCTGAGTTGACCCCAGGGCCATAGTGCGGCTGTAAGGATTAGGTAAATTGAAAAAAATACAATGACCTCATCGGGATTCGATCCCGCGACCTTCCAGCTTGTAGCATAGTGCCTCAACCAACTACGCTACTGCGTGCCCCCACACAGAAATATTACATATTAAAATTACAAAGTTTGACACTAAACCTGAGACAATATGAAGAATGAGCCGCACGTGGTTCGCGGTCTGAATATTGACCACCATTATCCTAAATTGTTTATGAGGTCTCGGGTTGAGAGGAAGGTCTGCGAAGCCCTGAGGCAAGGTGGTGGTCGCCTCATTAATTATATAGTACACAAAAAAGAAAAAGAGGACTATTTTATTATTGTTTCCTAACATGGCCACTGGGACATACTGACATGGCGCCTACAAAGAGGAGTGCTTGCTTGATTAACTTGAGCCAGGAAACTTTTGTCCGACATCAGCCTCCCGCTTTATGCGGCAGAGGGCTTTATAATACACGTGGCCCTGCACTTGGAGGATAACAATAAAGCAGCTACAATTTAATACCGCTTAAACTATTTTAAGTTTTGTTCCAACTCCAAGTTTATTCTTAATCATGTAACATTAATTATAAACCTCTCTGAAGACGAACCAAATAGAAACAGGGTAGTTGAATCGGCATAGTGACTATGCTGCGAAATGAGTAGCCGAGAATTCTGAGTTCGATTCCCGG